CCCGAAGCCCCTCAACCCTAAACCCTAAACCCTCAAACCCTAAACCCTAAACCCTAAACCCTAAACTCCCTAAGCCCCAAGCCTGAGACTCCCTAAGCTTCCGGACGAGGTCCCCATCCAAGCTGATGCCGCCGATGTCGGGGGCGCGAAGTTTGGGGCCCGGGAGGGAGACGACGGCTCCTAAGGAAAGACCCTTAGGTTCAGGGTTCAGGGTTTAGGGTTTAGGGGTTTAGGGGTTTAGGGGTTTAGGGGTTTAGGGTTTGGGGTTTTAGGGTTCAGAGGTTTGGGTTGAGGGTTTTAGGGTTTAGGGTTTAGGGTCTAGGGTTTAGGGGTTTGGGGTTCAGGGGCTGGGTTACTTGGTGACCATAGCCCGGTTTTAGCCTCAACCCTAAGGCCTAAAACCTCAACCCTCAACCCTATCCCGGAAAGCACAAACCCGAAACCCTAAACCCTCAACCCTGAACCCCAAAACTATGTTTGGGCATAGGTTTTCGAGTTTTGGGCTCGTTTGGTTGCCATGGGCTGCTGGGTAGTTTCGGGTTCGTGGGTTTAGGAGTTTGGGTCTAAGGGGCTTTGGCTTTAGGGGGTTTGGGTTTAAGGTATGAGGGTTTTGTGTTTTATGGGTTGAGGGTGTACGGCTGTTTCTCAGGTTCTCCGGGTACGACTGATGGTGATCACGAAGTTACAAACACGGCCAGCACATGGTGCAGGCAAGATGATGCGCTGGTAGCCCCAACTCAACCCCAAACCCTGAACCCCGAACCCTAAACCCCGAACCCTGAACCCCGAACCCTGAACCCTGAACCCTAAACCCTGAACCCTAAACCCTGAACCGTAAACCGTAGACCACTACCGCAGAGTGCAGATCCGAGGTCCGACATCGTAAGTGCTGCTAGGAGACGAGGAGCCGTGCTCTTTTTCTGTTTCCGAGGCCCTCCCCGCGGGACTCCGAGATCTATGATCAGGTGTCATCGCTGGTGGAGGCCGGCTGCCAGATATTTTTCCAGAAGTTCAAATATCGCTCAGCTCAGTATTGCTCATGAAGGATGCTTCGTACAGTGCAGGAAGTCTCCGGAACAAAGGGATATCAAGTTCCTGGGAAACCCTGACCCCTCAAGTGCTCAAACACCCTGTGCATCTTTATTTCTTGAATTCATCAGCTAGGAGTTTACGAAGCTTTCGAACAACTTGTGGACCACCAGGGCTACCGAAGGTTCTGGGAACCCATTCTTCCGCTTGCTTCCGCTTTTTCGGGCAAGCGAAGGACCACGGATAGCCTAAAGACATGAACAAACACGCCCTGAAACCTAAACCCTAGGCCCTAATTTATTAAAGGAGCTCCTTAAGGAACCCCTAAAAGGAATCCACCCTGAAAAAAAACTCCTTTAAACGAGACCTAAAACCTTAACCCTAGACCCTAAACCGTAAACCCTGAAACCCTCAACCCTAAGCCCTAAAACCCCTAAACCCCTGAAACCCCTAAACCCTAAAATCCTAAAGCCCTAAACCCTAAAACCCTAAAACCTCAAAACCCCAAACCCCTGAAACCCTAAACCCTAAACCCTAAAGCCCGAAAGCCCCAAAACCTTAAACCCTAAAACCCTAAAGCACCAAAACCCTAAACCCCTAAACCCTACAACCCCAAACCCTAAAACCCTAAACCCCTAAACCCTACAACCCCAAACCCTAAAACCCTAAACCCCTTAGCCCTACAACCCTAAACCCTAAAACCCTAAACCCCTTAACCCTCAAACCCTAAACTCTAAAACCTAAACCCCAAACCCCCAAAACCCTATACCCTAAACCCTAAACCCCAAAGCCCTAAACCCCTTAAGCCCTAAAACCCTAAACCCCAAACCCAAACCCTAAACCCTAAACTCCAAACCCCCAAAACCCACCCTGAGGAGCTCGAGGCGGCCAGGGCCCGGGCCTTGGCGGCTGGGGGGTCCCTGCCCCGGGCCGTGGAGGCCGCCGGCTCCGCCCTGGAGCGCCGGCCTTCGTCTGTCGGGTTTTTTCGGGTTTTAGGGGGGCAAAAATTTTTCGGGTTCCTTTAAAAGGGTTTCGGGTTTAGAGTTTAGGGTTTAGGGTTTTTAGGGGGTTTAAAGCTTTCGGGGTTGGTTTTAGGGTTCAGGGTTTTTTGGGGGCTTAAAGGTTTAGAGTTTAGGGTTTAGGGCGGGTTTAGGGTTTCGGGTTTAGGGTTTAGGGCTTAGGGGGTTTAGGGGATTAGGGGTTTAGGGTTTAAGGTTTAAGGTTTAGGGTTTGGGTTTAGTTTGGGGCTTTCAGAAGTTTAGGGGGTTTAGGGTTCAGGCTTTGGGTTTTCGTTTTTGTTCTGATTTGGAGGGGAAGTTTGGGGTGCAGGGTTTAGGGTTTTTAGGGTTAGGGTTGAGTGTCTAGGCTGTTGGGTTTTGGGGTTCAGGGTTTGACTCAGGGGTTGAGGTTGTGGGGTTTGGGTTTCGGGTTCAGGGTTAAGTCTAGGACATTTTCAGGTGTGTAGTTACCATTGTAGGAGCCTTATAGAAGGTCTATATACCCTATGGAAGCCTTATAGAAGCCCTATATACCCCAAACTCCCCACCTGTAGTTTCCTTTAATTTAGGGTTTTGAGTTTAGGTGGTTAAGGTTTGGGGTTTAGAGTTCAGGGGAGGAAGGGAGACTACCAGAGATGTGCGACTCTGAGCTGGGCCTCGGGTTCTTGAAACCTCCTTGTTGTCTTTGGACGCTTCCCTAAACCCTTTAAACCCTAAGCCCTACCCAAAGTCCTAAGCCCCAAACCCTAAACCCTAAACCCTCTAAACCCTAAACCCTTTAAGCCCCAAGCCCTAAACCCTAGACCCTTTAAGCCCGAAGCCCTATAAACGCCCGACAGGAGCCTCTCTTGCGCTTGCGAGACGTCACGGGAGCCTCCTGCGACCTAACGTCGTCTCCTTGGAGAGCTCTGTAAACGCGTCTTTGAGGGTTGCTCCAGGGTAGGGTTAGGGTTTAGGGTTTAGGATTCCGGGTTTGGGGGTGCGGGTGCTGGATCTATCCAAAGTAATGTATATATCAGGGGTTTAATTGGTAAGTGTATATACGTCTCACGGAATACTGGTGAGGTGATAGTTCGGTTGTCATTAAGCGGATGCTGGTGATAAATCCTTTTCATATTATGAAGCTCCCGCATAAAGGCCAGAGAACATCCGCACTGCACGGGGCAGGGCATTCAGGTCCTGGGACCAGGCAGGGTTCAGTACAGCACAGGCCTCAGTACTGGCTCAGGGTTTCCTGGATATATTCGGATATATGATACCACTGCAGGGAGTACAGGTGGCTTCTCTACAATCATATAACTGTTCAAGCAATTTTTCTTGGACTTTACGGAGCCTTGGTAGAAGAATTGCTAAACCCGCCTAACCCTCCTTGCCACTTAATACCTGAGCACCTCAAGCTTAACCGAAAACTACTTGTTCCTGATCCTCCGAAGCCCTAAACCCTAAACCCTAAACTCATAAACCCCAAGCTCCTTTGTTCCTTCCACGTCTCAGAGTCAACCCAAGGACTCCTATAGTAGGCTTCACGCCCGAAGCGCTCTCAGCTGTAGACTGTAGGCAATCAATCAGCAAGCAGTATCTAAGCATGGATTTGTTCAAATTGTAGAGGAAGACGGTGACGAAGATTGTGATGGTGATGATGGTGATGCTGATGAAGAAAATGATGATGTGGGGATGATGAAGATAAATATGGAGATGTTGGTCACAGCCGTTATCTACATAAATCGTGACTCATCATCATCATCATCATCATCATCATCATCATCATTATCATCACCATAATCATCGTCATCGTCATCATCATCATCGTCATCATGAATCACCTTCATCATCACCATCATCACCACCACCGTCATCATGAGCACCATCACAATCATCATAATCATCATCATCATCATCATCATCACCGTCAGCACCATCACCATCATCGCCGGCACCGTATCATCGTTATCACTGTCACAATCGTCGTCACCATCGTCATCATCATCATCATCATCATCATTGCTGCTGCTGCTGCTGCTGCTGCTGCTGTGGTTGTCGTTGTTGTCGTCATGATTGTGTTTTCTGTTAGTTTCTTTGTGGCATGTTAGTGATCAGCGTTTTCGTTAGTACGGTGTGTTATGATGCTGCTGAAGATGAAGACGACGTTGCTGCTGCGGGTCGTGGTCGTAGATCATGATAGTGATATTTGGGAGTCGAGCACGATGGTCATCGTTGCTGCAGCTCCAGGTTGCTATCAGCAGCATCCCTTTGTCCAGGTTGCCATCAGTGTGGTTTCTGCCACAGTTTTTATGCTGTTGCAGTCTCTAGTTTAGGATTTGGGTATTCAGCGCTTGAACGCACGAGGCATCGTGGCCCAAGTCTGGGACCAGTCCCGCAAGAGAGGCGATAGGGACGGTTGTAGCCATGAAAGTGCTGCGGCTGCTGCCGCTGATGTTGTCGACGGCCCTTGCATGTATGGGTGGAGAGCACTATCATCTCGAGGATTGCCACGCGAGGCGAACTGATGTTCGAGTTGAGAGCATCCTGTTTATGCTCCTCGGTAGCAAAGTAACTAACGGTTTTGGTGAAGTAGAAGCCGTATAGAATCACAAAGTTTAGTGTAAAGCTCCCCACAGGAAGAATGCACAAGCAATATAGGAAAAATGCACAAGCAACGCAGGGGTAGGAATACTTAGTAATACTATATCCTTATAGCCACCGTATAGTTATTCTAGATTAAAATACCGAAACCCCAAAGCCCATACCGTAATCCCTAAAACCTAAGCTCCAAACCCCAAACGCTAAACCCCAAAGCCCCTAAGCACAGCCCCTGAATCCTAGGCCCCAAACCCTAGACCGAAAACCGCATGGAGATCCATACAGCACGCTTATGGTATCCTTTACAGGAGCACATAGGGTACCCTTACAGTATCCTTTAAAGGAATCCCTGTAGTGCCCTTCTTGTGTCCTTCAAAAGAACCCATGTAGTACCCCACTAGATTTCTTTCGGAAAAAGAAACCCTCAAACCAATCCTGATAGTATCCTTGAAAAGAACGCTCAGGGTACCCTCATGGTATCCTTTAAAGGAAGCACTCATAGTGCCCGAGCAGATCCCTTTAAAGGAACCCTCCAATTTCAAAGAACCCTTGTAGTATCCTTTGACGGAACGTATCCTTAAAAGAACACCATCATAGTACCCTTATAGATTCCTTTAAAGGGACCCTTGCTATGACGGGGCCCGAACTGGGAGGGTTGCGGGACTTATCAACTAGTTACTTCATAGACTCGTGAGTACCATAGCCCCAATTAGGGTCCCTTCTGGGATACTTGTAACTCTACTTAATATCTACTTGATAAGTCCCCCAACCCCCCCTGGGTTGGACCCTCATAGATCCCTTTAAGGGCCCTGTGAGGAATCCTACTTACTAAGTCCCCTAGCCCGCCTAAATTCTAAATCCGAAACCCCAAACACTAAACCCTGAACCCTCAACTCCTAAAGCCTAAACCCTTAACCCCTAAACCCTAAACCCTACACCCTAAATCCTAAATCCCAAACCCTAAACCCTAAGCCCCTAAACCCTGAACCCTGAACCCTAAGCCCCCAAGAGGCTCCTCGTCGCCGTCCTCTCGAGTCTTCTGGTCTTTGGCATCTCGTGGGCCTGTGGTTTGTGGGAGATGCGGCGATGCCCCACTCTGGCTGTGGCTTCGCCTCCTTTTTTTTGGGGTGTTAAGGGTTGTAGGGTTAGGGTTTTTTTGGGGTTTTAGGGTTGTACGGATTTAGGGTTTCAGAGTTTTGGGGTTGTTGGGTGTTTGGATTAGGTGGCCACGCTCCCCTTTCTGTTCACCGTGGCCATATGCATCGTGCTTCCTTTTCCGCTTATTCATAGTATTACTCTGGATGTGCACCATCGCGACGATGCGAGAGATTGCTATCTGCTGGCGAATTCCGAGATGGCCTTCTCTGTGGGGGGGATGTACATATATGCGATTACCATGGCGTTCTCCTGGGCTTGCCTGTCCGTTGCCCTGGCTTGGCGGTATCAGGTTCCCGCGCCAGAAAGAGCGGAACTGGGCCATCGTGCCTTGAGATATCTTGCGGTCACCACCATTCTGAACACCCTCGGAAGCTCTGGTGCCGGTTTGAACCATCCTTTTCCTGTGCGTTGGTGCTCCAGCAAGGAAACCCCTCAAGCTAAACTTGATCAGTGAAAGAGGGGTTTTCGTAAGTACCTATACTATTTTTGGGGGGCTCCTTATTACAATTATATAGTGTAACATACCCCCCAAACCCTATTTTAATTATTCAGGCCCCTACATTACGCTTGCTGACGCCATCCCTGAAGCCATAATCTCTAGACTCTAAACCCGGCACCCCTTAATCCTAAAGCGCTCAACCCTTAAATGTTTAGGGTTCAGGGGTTTAGGGGTTTAGGGGCTTAGGGTTTAGGGTTTAGGCTTTAGGCTTTAGGCTTTAGGGCAGCATTGTAGCTTTTGCCTTCCCCGGGCCAAGGAACCGGCTTCTTTGTGCGGGTCACGTGTGGCACACCCGTCCTTGCAGACCTCTTAGCGATCAGCCCCGTAGGCCGTGGAAAGGAGGGCTGGGCGTTTAGGGCTTAGGGTTTTTAGTTTTACGGGTTTCGGGGTTAGGGGTTTAGGGCTTAGGGTTTTAGGGTTTACGGGTTTCGGGATTCGGGGCTTAGGGTTTAGGGTTCAAGGGGTGTATCCTGAAAGCCTAAGTGGCGTGCGTATCACCCAAAACCCCTAAACTTCCCACCCAAACCCAAAACCCTGTTGTTGCCCAGACGGCTGGGCAGGCGTAGAAAGGAGGTACAAGAATCCGCAAACTCGAAAGCCCAAACCTTCAAACCCTGAAATCCCCAAGCTCCCAAAAGCAAACCACCCTGCCAGCTAACCATGTCATGGTATCCCTTTATTGCCCCTATCCACTTTTACTACGATATCCCAAATCTTCGTTCGAGTTATCAAGGCCTCTCCATTGCAGCCGTAAGTCCGTACGACTACTGACGACCCCTTGCAGTCCTCAACCCATTCACGAACGTGCTCATGAAGCGGATCGTGCTACGAATGTCGGAGGCTTAGTGCTCTTGCATGTTAGGGTTTAGGGTTCATGCTCCTTGCAGGACCATACGATCGCGGGACTTATGATTTGTCCGCTGAAAGCCTTGAGGTCGGAGATCTACGCCGGTAGAGAGCAGACCAAGTTTATGCGGATGACGACATACGCGGAGTTGTTGTCAGGCTGTTTGACACTTGGCTTTCCGTCGGGTGGCTTCTCTTCGCATTTTAGCTTTCGGTGCTTCAAAGCCAGCTTGGAAATGTGCGCGACCCAGGATTGCAATCATCGCTGCAGTTTTCGTCGGGCTGTTAGAAACATATGGCACCAGCAGCAACTTCCCGCCCGGCACCGTGCATGCAGTGGGAACCGCTGCCATCTTGGCGTTGACGGTCCTCGTCTCGGTGCTCTTCTTTTTCGGGTTTGGGTCCGGGATTAGGGCGAGGGCTTGCGGGTCAGGGTTTAGGGCAAAAAGAGCACTAAGGTCCTGGTGGTACTTGATGGAATCTTCTCATGGTCGGCATTCACATCTCTTCGCGCAATCCTGCGTAGCGTGCAGATGGTCATGCCGACAGAACCCTGCCTGAATGTGCAGACAACGGAGTAGTAATCAGGGCTATAGCTAGGGACAACCCCGCCAAAGGCACCTGCCACCCCAGTTCTAAGTTATGTTGTAAGTCACTTGATGCTCTGACTTGAGACCCTCGCGTAAACTCTTCTTGATGAATAAGTCTCCTCCATTCACGAAGGAGATGGCATGACCCTGGACCTGAACTCTTGCAGCATATGCCCGACTCCATGCAAGCTTGGCAGAACCAACAACGCTACATCCGACAACACCAAAACTATCAACCGCAACCAAAATCCACTGAAACGGACCTTGAACCAAATTCATCCTTCAAGAGCCTTACCCTAAACCCTAAACCCTAAATCCTAAACTCTAAACCCTAAACCCTAAAACCCTAAAACCCCCAAACCCCCAAACCCCAAGCAATGCATCCCTAAACTCGAGAGAGCCGAAGCTGAGGAATCCAACAAAAGCGTTGTGAGCAACTCCTTGGCTGTTGCGAAAGCGAACCTTTGGCTGGTGGGACCCAAAGAATTAGGGTTTAGGGTTTAGGGTTTAGGGAGGGAGGGTGTTGGTTTAGGGTTTACTTTCGGGTTTAGGGACCCTAAACCCTAAACCCTAAAGATTTGGGAGTTTAGGGTTGAGGGTCTAAGCGATTTCGATGCAAGTTGGGATGGTTGCCGTCAGTTTCGAGAACGCAGGTTGCACTCGCAGTCATTGGCACTAGCATCTTCTACGCCATGCTCATTGTTCTTGTGGGTGCCGTCACCATCTTCTACCGGCATGGATCCGAGGAACAGGAAAGCTATACGAGCTACTCCAGCTACTTAGTTAGCCAATAGGAAAACTTTAAACTTTTTGGCCTTATATATTTGGTCTATCCTAAAAAGTTTGAACTTTTTTGGGCCCTAAACCCTAAACCCTAAACCCTAAACCCTAAACCCCACTTGGGGGCCTGGTTGTTGAAGAAGAGAGGCTATACCGAGCCCTCGGACCCCACGCTGGTGCAAGGGATGCTGCCCCTGATGATCTGGTGCTTGGACAGCATCTTCAACGACCTCTGCGCCGTCTATCTTGGCTGCGGTCCCACCCAGGCCGGTTTAGGGTTTAGGGGAGAAAAGTTTGGGGTTTAGGGTTTAGGGTTTAGGGTCTTGGGGTTTATGCTTTCGGGTTTAGGCTGGCCCTTGATTCGAAAGTTGTAGGGGCAAGAGCTGAGCCCTAACCCCCTACCGGCTTAAAGCATACTAGGCCCCAAGGCTAAAGCATTAAGCCTTAAATCCTGCTAAAACAGAAGCCACAACTCTATAAGAGCTCTTCAAGTTTAGTTAGAGGAACCCGTACAGGAATGAAATCCTAAAACCTCGAGCCCTAAACCCAAAACCCTAAACCCTTTAAGGAATGAAATCCTGAAGCCTCGATCCCTAAACCCAAAACCCTAAACCCTAAACCCTAAAAGGAATGAAATCCTAAAGCCTCGAACCCTAAACACTAAACCCTAAACCCTGAACCCTTTAAGGAATGAAATCCTAAAGCCTCGAGCACTAAACCCAAACCCTAAACCCTAAACCCTAAAAGGAAGGAAATCCTAAACCCTAAACCCTCAACCCTAAAAGGAATGAAATCCTAAAGCCTCGAGCCCTAAACCCCAAACCCTCAACCCTAAAAGGAAGGAAATCCTAAACCCTAAACCCTAAACCCTCAACCCTAAAAGGAAGGAAATCCTAAAGCCTCGAGCCCTAAA